AAGCCGAGAACCTGAGCCCTACAGTATTGGGGGCCTCCAGAAGCCCTGCCGGTGATCGCCCCGCCCCTTCCTGGAGCTTGGGGTCCTCTGATCCTGGGGGACCCCGACTTGGTTCTCGCCGGTTGGAGGCCTCCGTGAGCCCAGTCTCTGGCCGTCTTACCCGCTAAGAGCCGGGAGTAGTAAAGCTTGGCTCTGGAGTCGTTCGCTGTTGATTGTCACAGCCGCCCCGGTCCTTGGTTCTGTCACATCCAGGTCTCTCGTTAACACTACCACCACAAAAATTAAAAAGCGTGGTAGAATTTGTTTTTAAAAAAGAAAAGAAAAAACGCGAGCTCTGATCTTGTGCCTTTTGGGGAAAGTTGAATATTAGTGGCGCATGACTTGGTCTGTGGGAAAGTAGACGGGGGACGTGTTTTTTTGTTTTGGTTTGGTTTGGTTTTCTTTGCACGAGATGTCTCGTAGTGGTTCGCCAACAGTTTGGGAGAAAAGTATTGATTCCCACCTGAGATAAAATAAATCTGTTCAGAATAAAGATGCTGAAATAGGAAGAAAGCTGTTATTCCTGGAACATAGGCTAAACACCGACGCTATTCCACCTCCTTTCCGCGTTGTCCCCCCTTTGCTTTTTGGCGTCTTATTGTGGTCGCTGCTCAGTTAAGAGCCAGCAGCCATATTGAAGAATAGGATGGAGGATTTTCCTCCAAGTTAACGGCTGAGGTAGAAAAAGTGCTGGAGAAGTTGCTAGACTCCAAGAATTGATTCTCTGAGCAATAAATATTTGGGAAGTGACCCCAAATTCATAGATGAAAGGGGTGATTGGTAGTAGATATATCTGAGGAAGCCAGAAAGTTCAATTATTTAAATACTTTTAGATAAACTTACTGGAATTGTCTTAACTAAGTATGAGTGTGAATATGTAACATTTGAGAATATCATTTTACTTGATAAGTAAACCAATTCTAATGAGTTCTGCAGTGTTATGAAGTAATCTTGTCAGCTTTAAGTGATGACCTTGTGTATACTGACAGGATAACTAGCTCTCCAGCCTATCCCGAGATTACCCACTTTATGATCCAATTACCATCTTAGTTCATTTTGTTCCAAGCATTCGTCTTCCTGCTCATGCTTCCAAAGCTGCCTGAAAGAGCAGATATTTATGGGGGTTTGAACTCTACTGCAACTATCAGAGAAATCCTGCACAGTAATTCAAGTCTGTGCTGAACCTAAAACAAGCACTTAAAAATGATTTCTAACTTGCTTAAATTGCTATGGCTAAATTATTTTAAACAATAGGGAAAAAATGAAAAGATGCTTATTCATTTCTGTCCATAGACTCAACTTTTCGGGGAATGGGAGAGAAGTGTAATCTGTTGTCCTCTACTCTTATAAATAAGAGTAGTACATACCCAAAACTGTTTTTGTGTGGTGGTCTCTGTCCAAAGAAATGCAGCTGCAAGTCCTCTGAGTGTGTACCCCTTACAAGGAGAGTTCTTTGTCCCCTTTTCTCTTTGCAGTGGAATGCAGTAGCTCTGTGGGCCTGGGACATTGTGGTTGATAATTGTGCCATCTGCAGAAACCACATTATGGATCTCTGTGAGTAATCGGAGGATGGGAGGAAGTGGGGAAGGGTACAGAGATTGTAGCCGTCCTAATGTGACCAATTCCTTCTTCACAAGGAGATACAGTGCACAGAGCCCATGCAGGTTCTGCGGCCAGGCCACTGGTGTGTTTGAAATAGAGTGGTTTTTATGATTCCTAGAGGCAATCCTAGCTTCCAGGACAAGTTAATCTAAAGCTGGCAAGGACACGTTTAGGGTGAAGGTGGTCGCGAAAGCACCATTGATTGGTCCGTCTATGTCCCATCACATATCCAGACTCAAAGGCAGAAATACTGAAAGGAAGAAAATACCAACTTTGAGCTAAAGTAGTCTATCTGGACTGCTTTCTATTGGGCCAGACTTACAGTTGGAGTTGGGTGTGGTAGTGCATGCCTCTGATGATGCCAGCACTCTGGAGGCTGAGACAAGAATTGCGGCAAGTTCAAGGCCTACCTGAATTAGATAGCAAGGCTGTGTTTCACCCCCCCCAAGAGAAAGTAAGAAGTAAAGATTTTTGGTATTAGCCCCAAACGTACTCAAAAGGACATCACTGTCAACATCTAAGTAGGTAATTATGCTAAAGAAAGTTTTAAAAAATCTCTATGTACTTCATTACACAGTGAACCTGATTATTGTTGTTGATGGGCTGTCTTCATATCCTTGTGATAATGGGGTAAAAATATTGATCACAGCAGGAACAGTGAGGTTACTGTTTCATCTGTCTATGAAAATGATTTCTCATTGAGATAAAAAATGGGGCAGGCAGAGATTCCTGGAATTTAGCTCAGTGGCACCATGACTGCCTTGCGAGCACAAGGGATCCTAGCACTTATATTTTAGATCTCTCTACTTTGTTTCCACCTTCATCCCGAGTCACTCTTCTGCTCATGGTGGTAATTGTTCAGGTCTTCTTTCCATTCTTCAAGTGCCCTTGCTCTCCTTGTGTTCCCTCGCCCTTCCTGGAACATCTCCTACCTTCACTTCTCCTTACCTTTGTGTATCCCAGCCCTGTCCAGTGGAAATACAGCCACAAAAGCAAGCACATAAAAAATTTTAAATGTCCTAGTACCCACTTTCACAAAGTAAAAACAAGCAGCATTGTTTTAACCTGTCATATCTAAAATATTTTCAATATATGATCAATATATTTTAAAAATCAAGATAAATCTCAGGGGATGTAGTTAGTTGGTAAACTGCTTGCCTAACATGCTTGAAGCCCTGGATTTGATCTCCAGCGCTGCAGATAAAGAGGTAGGGGGATACACTACTTTACATTCTTTTGGTTTTTATGTTTTGGTTTTGGGGGGGGTGTTTTTGGTACTGGGGATCGAACTCAGGACCTTGCACTTGTGAGGTAGGTATGGCGCCACTGATCTAAATCCCTAGCCCTTGCATTCCATGTTTTGGAAATCCAGTGTTCATCTCAGTTTCAACCTACCACATGCAAAGTATTGGAGAGCAGCAGGGTTCGTGGCTGTGTTAGTGGGTGATATAGGAGTAGGCCAGAGTTAACCATCAGCTCGCACCTTGAACTTACTCAGAGGTGTTTTTTTCTGACCATAGTTCCACACAGCCATAAGCTAGGGCAGTTGTGTTAGGCAGTCCCAAGACATTCTGTAATTTCTATTTTTGTTTTTTGTTTGTTTGGTTGGTTTTTGTTTTTTTTGAGACAGAGTCTCACTATGTAGTTGAGACTGACCTGGAACTCACTATGTAGCCCGGGCTGGTCTCGAACTCACAGCGATCCTCCTGCCTCAGCCTCCCGAGTGCTGTGATTACAGACCTGGCCTCTTTTTTGTTTTTTTGAGACAGGATCTCACTATGTACTTCAGACTGGTTTTGAACTCACTATGTAGCCTGGGCTGGCCTTAAACTCAGTGATCCTCCTGCCTCAGCCTCCCTAGCACTGGGATAGGTGTGTGCCACCATGCCTACCAAGGATTTATGTTTTTTGGTTTTTGGTTTTTTTAACTCCAGGGATTGAACTCAAGACCTTGTGCTTGCGAGGCAGGCGCAGTGCCTGAGCTAAATCTCTAGCCCTAGATTTTTTATTTTTTATTTTTTTATTTTTATTTTTTGGGGGGGATTTTTTGAGACAGGGTCTCACTGTGTAGTTGGAACTGACCTGGAGCTCACTATGTAGCCCAGGCTGGTCTCGAACTCACAGCGATCCTCCTGCCTGAGCCTCCTGAGTGCTGGGATTACAGTTGTGCGACACCACACGCGGCAAGCTTTTTTTTTTAAATGCTGGGGATTGAACTAGGGTCTTGTATTTTTACCATTACACTCCCAGAAGCAATAGAAGCAATAGTCCTTTTTTTCTTAAACAAAACATTTAGTGGTGTATACACATAATGATAACATTCACCATAGGGAATTTATAAAGCAAGAATCTTGATTTAGCTATGGCCATTTTCCAATAAATCTGATTTGGCATTAAATGAATGATTAGACACAGCTATAGGACTGGGGATTTAGTTCAGTGGCACTGCACCTGCCTTATAATTACAAGGTCCTGAGTTCAATCCCTGGTACCAAAAAGGAAAGGGGAAAAAAATGATGAATTAGACACATAGCTGCAAATAAATAAGAATGATTGTGGCCATGCCGTGGTCAGACTTCTGGTCTGATGGCTTCTCCTTCATGTTCAAATGGATCCTGCAGGCCGTCCTGTGGGCTTTATGTTTTTTATATTGCCCGTGTCTTGTTTGTTTTAAAGACTTGCTGAAATGCAGTATACAAGCCCGTGTTTTCTCCATTATCGCTGCTAATCTTGTGCCAGGTGAAGAGGCTACCTTCGTCTTATCTGTAAGACTCAGTGTCTTTCCAGACTCCAGTCCCTGGTTTTTGAACGAGTGAAATCTGTCCACTCTGGAGGTGCAGCCTTTGCTTCCTCTGCAGTCCCTTGATGTACTGTCTGCAGTCACCTTCTGCCTCGGCAGGAGTGGGACACCGCATTACCTGCTGCTGCTGTCCAATTGGGTTACGCAAACAGTTCCTGCCTTGTCTAAACGTACTGGACTCTGCCTTGGTACTCACTTTCTGCACTAAAAGCCTGAAAACTTATTTTTTTCTTCCCGCAGCGCTGGAGCTCAAACCCAAGGCCTTGTAAATGGTAGGCACATGCTGCACTACTGAGCTATACCCAGCCCTCTGAAAATTTTTGAGCACATTTTAAACTTTTTTTATTCATCCTCCATGCCATATTCATTGTTTCCATGCCATATCACTTCCTGCCTGGTGTTCTAGATGCGTTCCAGTGCCTCTTACATATTTTGGTTCTTGGTTAGGAATTTCCAGATAGAGAATAAATATATATTGGCTCCTATTCTCTCTCCTTGTAGAAGCAGTTTGGGCTTTCTTACTCAGGTACCAAGACCTTGCTTAGCACTTGGCATAGAAAGACTGGGTCTCTGCTCCATGCAAGGTTTGACTAGCAGGAGAGGGATCAGCTATGGCAGGAGACTATCATGTCACTGACAAGTGCTAGAATAAGTGACTATAGTCACGAGTGCCTGAAGGGAAGGAAAAAAACTTGGCACAGGGAGTCAGGAAATGCTCCAGTACAGAAGTAGGCACTTAGGTGGGTCTTAATGAGTAGGAGGGATTAAAGGTGATATAGTGGGAGAGCATTCCAGGTATGAAATAAAAAGAGCTCCAAAAGGACTGGGATGGAGGCTTGAGGGACCCTGAGTTGAGTAGCATCATGGCCACAACTAGACAAAAAGACCTGTGATGGGTGTGCCTTGAGTTTTGGCCCTTACTTTAATTGTAGTTCTTATTTAGTTAATTTCATAATACCTAGTCCCCATCTAAGTTAGAGGAGCCAACTAGAAGGACATCAGCTTTTATCTTCTCTGCGATCTTTGGAATGTAAGTAGTTCATTCCCAGCCTCAATAAACCCTGGAATATACTACTCGGACCCTCAGGCCTGCACTCGTTTCAGGTGACAAATCAAGTTCTCTTGTTTGTCATATGAATCTGAAGAGCAAAAGCGAATTCTGTGATTTCAGAACCTTTGATTTTTATGGTTTTGAAAGCGGGGGGGCAACTTCGCTATGGTCTATGTCTTCTCTGAGACCAATATACTTGTTAACATCTTAGCATAATTTTTTTTTTTTTTTTTACTGTTTTGCTCTTTTCCACCTAAGATTGGTTGAATCAAATGTCCCTATTAAATAAAGTCTTTCCTGAATCTTAATTCTTCGAAGGCGAGACTCCCATTTGGCTCTTTTCAGAGAAAGCAAATTCTACATTAGGAATCTTTATTCTTCAAATACAGTGTTTATCCCCAGTAGAGCTTCACCCAGAAGTTCTCAATGTCGGGGTTTTTTTTTTCTCTTTAAATGCCTCTGTGAAACTGATATGTGGGTGTATGTGCAACAGTCTGCTCTCCATCTGAGACAGTTACTTCTGGGGTGGTAAGTATTGCGACTCAGTGGCCATAGACAGAGCCCCCTTTATGACGTTTGTAGAACTTGAGTTACTGCTGTACCTGAGGTTCAGTAGGGCACCCTCCCCTTCTTGCTTCTGTCCAGTTCATAGCTTCCTCCCCATTCTTGCAAGGGTTGGAGCCTATTACCCAGCTTGGACTGAGCTGTGTGGGGAGAAAAAGCACTTGCCAAGGATTGGGGAGAGGGCAGCTCTGAAAGTCCAGTCATGCTCAGAGTTTAAAAGCACTTTTCTGGGGCTGGGGATTTGGCTCAGTGGTTCCACCACCTGTCTCGCAAGCACAAAGATCCAAGTTCGATCCCTGGTACCAAGAAAAAAAAAAAAAGGCACTTTTCTGGGCTGGAGATACAGCTCAGCAGCGTAGCACCTGCCTGGCAAGGTTAAGGTCTTGAGTTCAATCCCTAATACCAGAAAAAAATAAAAAAAGAAAGAAAAGCACTTTTCCCATTTGTTAACGCAGTGTTGAAAAAAAGATAGGAAACTTTTGGGAAGTAGCCACCGAGTCCCATCTCTGTCTTCTCTGTTTCACATTCATTAGGAAACAGTTACGGCTGATTAACCACCCAAGCACTGCTTGGCTGCCCCGGGCTGTAAGGCTGCTGATCCCTGGCTTGGTGATCCTTTTGCTTTTGTCCCCGCAGGCATAGAGTGCCAAGCCAACCAGGCATCTGCTACATCTGAAGAATGCACCGTGGCCTGGGGAGTCTGTAATGTAAGTTTGCCAGTCTGAAATAACTAGGAAAGAAGTGACCAGCTGCTTTCCCCCAAATATGCAAGCAGCACAAAAGATCTCAAACCCTCTCACTGTTCCCTTAGCGGAGGGAATCGTGGTTGGTTATTCCAGAGAGGCCCAGGTCGTGCTGGTGGCCGGGCCCCTCTGTTGGGGCCATTGGGATTCTGCACTGGGAGTGGCTCCAGAGTGAGGCCTGGTCTCTGGCACCGCCCTTCACTCATCTTCTGAGCAGACCCCCGGGACAAGTGTTTGTGGAGCTGAGTACGGTAGATAAGTTGAGGGTTCCAGGCCGTGTGTGTTTTAAGTGTGGCTAGTGTCCTGAGTGGGGATGTTTTAAGTAAGCACATGCCAGAAATGTTTTATGCAGCATCATTGGTCTGAATGTTTGGTCCTGCAGGATGTGACGACTGTGAAGGATAACAAACATCAAAAATGTTATTTCTAGGGCTGGGGATTTAGCTCAGTGGTTCTACTGCCTGCTTCACAAGTACAAGGTCCTGAGTTGGATCCCCAGTACCAAAAAAAAAAAATGTTATTTCTAGATGTGGGGATAGTGGTGCCACTCCTACCTCACAAGCTCAAGGTCCTAAGTTTGATCTCCAGTGCCACCACCACCAAAAAAAAAGTTATTTCTAGAGTATGTTAAAAATTCATCCTTCAATTTCATGCGCAATATATATATGTGGTAGCATACTTGAGGCCATGCATATGATTCCCCAGTACCATGCAAAACAGCAGGGGGAGGGCAAAAGCTTAGAATTGCTCCTACACACAGTAAGCATCAGTGTTGAAGCATCTAAGTAAATACAAATTCGGGGCAAGGTCCTTCTCATCCCTTGCCTGCAGCGCACCATCTTCATTCTGTCAGGGCACTTATGCTGGTTTCCTAAAGCTCACGTCGGCCACAGGATGCCTCACTTGACTGGAGTGCTGGTTCCCAGTTTTCCACCCCGGCTCCCAAGTTAGGCGAGTTGCTTTTGCTTCCTGTCTGCACCACACAGATAACAGTATCAGGCACGACTGCTTGCAGTGGCTGCCGTGGGGCTTGGGTGAGGCTGAAGATGTCAGCATCTCTATGAACCTGGGACCCATGGACCTTTGCAAACATTACCTGCTTAATGTGTCCTCTTGTGTGACTTTCACTGCTGACCCAGAGAGTGTTGGGTAGTAGAGGCAGAAGATGGATTTGGGCGTCTTGGGAGCACCTGTCCCCAACACCTGGGGACCAATAAAAATGGCTCCAACTTCTGCCTCTGGGAAATCCATTTTTTCTCTTTTTCACAGTGAGCTGTGAGAGTCAGCAGACTTATGACCTTCCAGAAGGCTGTTGCTCTGGAGGATACATAGTTGACTTGCTGAGAATCTATAGCTTACCAGCTATAGGCTCTGTTTTGTTGTGTTTTTGTTTGTTTGTTTGTTTTAAAATTTTCAGTACAATTTTTATCTCTTTAAGACAGACACACTGGGGATTGAACAAGGCCCTTCCTACTGAGGTATATCCCTAGCCCTTTTATAAATTAAAAATTTTAAGGTCTCACTAAGTTTCCCAGACCATGCTTAAACTTTGCGATCCTCGTGCCTCAGTCTCCCAGACTGCTGGGATGACAAGTGTGCATCGCCATACCCATCTGGATTCCATTCTTAATTACAGAATTAAAATTTTTGTTGCCAAGTCAGTTTGCAAGATAATAATCCATAATGTCTGATTCCTGAAGTTGCATACCTATTGTGGGGAGACATACGAACCAGATTTCAGAGCCACTGTTAAACCAGGTCCTCATGAGTTTTTGATGTGGGGAGGTTCCTCTGGGCCCCGCTGCAGCAGCACAGCAATCACAGCTTACATGAGGGGAACCCTAGGTACTTCTCTTAATACTCTGTTCATGTGACTGGCTAGGAGGGGGATAGTTGTCTATTGCTGTGACTATGCCTACCTGCGGCTCATCCAGACCTGCACATGGGTTTTCCTCTCCCCAAATCTAAGCCAGCTCCTGGCTCCCTGTCCTTACCAGCACTGCTGACACTCTTGCCTTTGCCTTTCTGTCTTGATCATGAAAATCACCTGTGGATGGCCTTCTAGCTGCTTCTATGCAATTTATTGCCAGAACACTTTTCCCTCAATTTTTAGGTCTTTAAGACAGAGACACTCATCCATCAAACACCTGTTGGTGCTGGGCTGTCCAGAGTCTGAGTAAACCCATAGTACCCATCTCAGCCCTGGGTGGTAGTGGCAGGGTGGTGGCAGTGGCACGGAGCTGCCCTGTAAAGGGCTGAGCAGAGGTTCTGCTTCCAGGGGCCTTGTTTCTCAAGGTGGGGCAGGAGGCCAGGGGCTGGTGACCAAGGATTGAGCAGTTTGAAGTCCTGTGTGGTCAGGGCCTCCTCCAGGGAAGTGGATGCTCCAGCCCCTTTCAAGCCAAGTGGGGCTGGGACCAAGCATGTTTGTGTAAAGAGGAAAAGGCTCCTTCTGGGATGTGAACTTGTGCTCCCTGAATCATTTTTGAGCAGCAGTGACATTTCTGACTCATGTGTCTGTTGGAAATGCCCCGTACCTACTGAGGACAGATACCAAGTTGTGCTCCACTGGGGCACTGTGGCTTCTGCTTGTCTGTCCTGAGGGAGTGTGGGCAGCAGAAGGTATAGACTAGAGCAAAGTTTTTTTTTTTTTTTGGTGCTGGGGATCGAACTCAGGTCCTTGCACTTGCAAGGCAGGCAGCAGAACCACTGAGCTAAATCCCTGGCCTGGCCCAGAGTAAAGTTTTTAATCACACATCTTTTCTTCTTTCAGCATGCGTTTCACTTTCACTGCATCTCTCGCTGGCTGAAAACACGACAGGTGTGTCCACTGGACAACAGAGAGTGGGAATTCCAAAAGTAAGTGTCGAACTCAGGTCCTTGCACTTGCAAGGCAGGCAGCAGAACCACTGAGCTAAATCCCTGGCCTGGCCCAGAGTAAAGTTTTTAATCACACATCTTTTCTTCTTTCAGCATGCGTTTCACTTTCACTGCATCTCTCGCTGGCTGAAAACACGACAGGTGTGTCCACTGGACAACAGAGAGTGGGAATTCCAAAAGTAAGTGTCTGGGCTTTGGGATGGGCTCAGGCCTGCGGTGGCGATGTGCCCCGGGCCTTTTCATTTATGGAGCATGCAGAAAAATTAGCCAGCATTAAGTTTGTAGCCTGTGGGTTCCCAACTTTCTAGCATCTGTAAAAACAGAAAATATGGGAATCTCCAAGCCCTGAAATATTTCCAATGTGACTTTCCCTAAGGAAGTTCCATGGCTGCTTATGTTGTAGACCTGTGCCACTGTATCAGCAGTTCATCTACACTGCTTAGTGCTGATAAAGCATCTGTGGTCTTTTTTTTTTTTTGGTACTGGGGATCAGACTTGGGACCTTGAACTTGTGAAGCAGGCGCTGGCATCACTAAGCTAAGTCTCCCGCCCATCTGTGGCCCTCTTGATGAAACTATCCCCACACAAAGGATGGCACAGTTAATTCTCGACAGTTAACTTCTTTGAAAGGGTCTGCCCCAAAAAATGAGCCTCCTGCTTTAGACCTCAGAAGTTAACAACAGCAGCTTCCCAGTAACTTTTCTGGCTCTCTGTAGACACTTGAAAGTGTGTTTTTATTAACATGTACAATGACTCACCTTGTTTTTTTCATGTGATAGCTATGTCATATCTACACATAAAATTGCCCCCTTTCCAGGGGTCAGCTTTTCTCTACGCAGATGAACCATAGCTTTTAATCAGTCCTATTGATGGACCTGCAGGCAAGAGCATGGTGAGGCGCTGGGAAGGAGGAAGAGGGAGAGGAGAGTGACTGAGTCAGGCCAAGCTCACTTCCACCCCAAGCTTGGTGCACACTGTGGTCGAATCTGTGTTCCAGAGTTCTGCCTAAGGCCGTGCCTGTGTTTAAGCAGGGTTTGTCTCGCATAGGAACCTAGCGTGGAATTAATGATGGAACTTGCTTTGTCTTGCAGGTATGGGCACTAGAAGGATTCTTCTACCCATCCTAACTATTATTAAGCAACCTGCCTCCTGTTGTTGTAGGTTAGATAGGACCGTGTCCTTCCCCCTTAGCTCTTCAATGTATTGTCCCCCGCCTGTGGTTGTACCCTTACAAAATAAAGTTCTGTTGGGTTCTAGAGTGGATGCTGTCTCTTGTGTACAAAGTGAGAGTCCATGAGCTGGAGGGTGGGGTGTGAAAGCCATTTGCGAGCTGGAGACAGAGCACCTGACTGCCCACGTGTCACTGGGCTTGAGGCACCTCCCAGGCTGGGAGAGTGTGGATCTTGAGCATCAGATACAAGGTAGCTCCTCTTCCTGTGTGACAGAAGCAGCCGCTGAGTGGGGAAATCACAGGCGCGTTGGTTGAGCCCAACTCGGTCCTGCTTCCCAGCCCCTCCTGCTACAGTAGCCCTAGGCAGGCACTTGTCTCTATTTGGAGCTGTCCTCTCTCGGGCTCCTGAGGACCGCAGAGCGTGAGGTAGGTGACACACATAACTCTGTGACACTGCTTTCTCATAGCTTAGAAAGATAAACCTGAAAAATAAAATTGTAATATGTGATATCAACTGGCAAGAGAATAATTGTGAATTCAAGTTAAAAACTGACACTTGGAACCTGGTGTGAATGCCTGTAATCCTAGCACTCAGAACCTGAGGCAGAAAGCTCACCACGAAAGACCAGCCTGGGCTATATAGAACTTCTCTTATAAAATATATTATTAAAAAAAGAAAAACAGGTATGTTGGTACACCCCTGTAATCCTAGCATTTGGGAGGCTGAGGCAGGAGGATACCATGAGTTTGAGGCCAGCCTGGGTTCCATGGTGAGTTCAAGGCCAGCCTCTACTGTATAGCAAGACCCTGCCTCAAAAAAAAAAAAAAAAAAAAA